TTATTATTATTATTCTTTTTCGTCTTTTTCGTCTTTTTCTCCTCCTTCTTCTTCTTTTTAGTCTTTTTCTCCTTTTTCTTTTTTGTTTTTCGTCTTTTTCTCCTCCTTCTTTTTCTTTTTTGTCTTTCGTCTTTTTCTCCTTCTTTTTCTTCTTCTCCATCTCCCCCTTCCCCTTTTTCTTTCTTTTTTTCTTCTATTTTTACTTCGTCTATTTCTCCTCCTTCTTTTTGTTTTTGTTCTTTTGCGTCTTTTTCTCCTACTTCTTTTTGTTCTTTTTCTTTTTGTCTTTTTCTCCTTTTTGTTTTTTCATTTTCATCTTTTTCTCCTCCTTCTTCTTCTCAATCTCCTCCTTCTTCTTCTTCCTTGGTCTCTGGGAGGTTTTTCTTCTCACCCCAAATTCCCTTTTAGCTCTAAACTACATGGTGGGGGGGTCACCTTAAAGCAGGGAGGGGGTTAACAGTCTGAACCCCCTGACCAATGAGAGTTAGATTACCTGGAAGGTGACCCCTTAACCCCCCCACCCCCCCCCACCCCCCGGCTTCCTTTCCTCCGAGCTGGTGTTCGGTGTCTCCTTTATGGAGGTCCCCACATCACAGCACGAGGGAGAAAACCATAGAAGAAGAAGTCCAGCCGCCTGCCCCCCCCTTGGGGGGGCTCGGTGAAGCATCCTTTGCTCACGTTGTCGATGAGACTCGAGCTTTTTTTTTCTCGTTGCAGGACGAAGGACGGCAGTGAGTTTTTGTTTCATGCAAAAGATGAGGTGAGATATTTTCTTCTTCTCTTTTTCCCCATCACGCCTTATTAAAACTCCCTCCCGCCGCCTGACCGGTTTAAGACCAGGTAGCATCCAGACTCTCTGAGGAGACGTCTCAGCTTACGTCCAAAGTTTGGATTCAAACTATAAATCGGTTTTTGAATCCTGTGAGTCTTCATAGTTTACCTTTTGTTCCCCAAAACATGCTGAGGCTATTCAGCTTTCCAGTGTAAATAATCATTAATAACTTTCTTTTTTTTTCTTTTTTTTTCTAAATAGGTTTATGGGTTTATCAAATTTCCAAATTTTAAGTCGTTAAAGGTGTTCATTAGACATTCTTTTGTTTTTTTTGGTGTGAAAAGTCCAACTTTTTCCTGCTTCTTTTGATGCTTTTGTGGGATGATGTGTATCAATATCAGTTAAAAAGTGACGCAAAAACAGGAAAAGTGAGCAACTCTGAGGTGGAACGGGGTTAAAAATGGCCGCCGAGCTGCTCTCACGCTGACGGCGTTCTCCCCCCCCCCCCCCTCCCCTCTCAGGAGGACCTGAAGGCCTGGGTGACCAGCATCACCGCCAGCATCTCGGAGCACGAGGAGATCGCCAAATGGGGCCAGCCCCAACCAACTACCTCATCCACCGACGAGGGCACGCGGCGGGACGCCAGCAAGGCCGACAACCGGTCAGAGCGGGGCGGCGAGCGCTCGGACCGCGGCGACCGCATCGAGCGGGCCGATAAGGACCAGGAGAAGGAGAAGGAGAAGGAGAAGGAGAAGGAGCGGGAGAGGGGGGAGCGGTCGGAGCGCTCGGACAAGGGGGGGAAGTCGGACGCCAAGCGCTCGGAGAAGCCCGGCAAGAAGAAGTGAGCGGGTCGGCCGGGACTGACGTGACCTTTGACCTCGGACGGGCGGCGGGCCCCGCCCCCTCACCGGGCGGAAAAAGCGGCTCTGGGCCCCGGCTCCGTCTTTCTTCCTCCTCTCTCTCTCTCTCTCTCTCTATTTCTCTCTCTCTCTCTGTCGGGGGGCGGAGCCCCGGGGACGCCGGCGGGAGTCGCCGGGCAGAAAAGGCGGCCTCCGATCGCCCTCCGTCCGTCTGTCCGAGCCTCTCTCTCTCTCTCTCTCTTTCCGCTCGCCGGACGCCGGGGGGAGAGCCGATCCACGCCATGGCGGTGGCGGCGGCTCGCAGACGAAAGGTAGACGTGTGGTGTTGTGTGTTTTTCTGTCGCCGTGTCGTTCCTTCACGCGCCATCCCGTCCGGAAGCTCCTGCCATGAAAAAACACAAAAGCGGAATTCAAGCTGGTTTTTATTCCCCGCAAACGAGCGCCGGTCCGAGAGAAGAGGCGGGCAGAACGGGACCCGGGTCCGAGTTCACGTGTTCAAGCGGCTTCTTTTTCCTCTCGTAAAAGGACTTTTTTTTCCGAGGATTTTTCTTATTTGATTTTTTTGTACCGGCGGCTGTGTTCTTAGATCTGTGGGCCTCATTCATTAAAATTTCATCGATTCTTTTTTTTCTTCGATCGAGAAGTCAAAACTCATACTTTACAGAACACCAGAGGCTGAGACTCACGTTTTCATACCTCTAAGGGAATACTTGAAACTCATGGGAAGCTGCTTGATGGCCCTAAAACAAACAAAAAAAAAACAACAAAAAAAACCCTGTTTCATGGCTTTGGTCATAAGCACAAAAACCTGCATCTGGCACGTTTTAATGAGCGAGGCCTTCGGGGCTGGAGACGGGCCTCGTCTACTCTCCAACAGCATCGGGCTTTCTGCTTGGAAAATCCTCTTTGATTTGCTCCCGTCTGCACCCGTTTGTGCGCCGGCGTGCGGGAAACGGCGCCGGCGCGCGGCTCCCAGGGTCTCCACCGCTCTCAGGTTACTTATGTTGGTGTGTTTGCAACCACGCGTTTGCCACCTCAGTCTTCCAGAAGCATCCGACCGACCGACACACACTTTTTTTAGTCTGTCTTTGTAAAGAAAAGCTCCCCCCTCCCTTCCCATCAAACAGCCCTCTGAGGCTCTGCGCTGTTTCTTTTTCACCTAAAACTCACCGGATGTGTAATTCAGGAGGTTTGGAACGTGCTGAAGGTCGCCTTTTAGAAAAAAAGAAGAAAAAATAAAGAATGAGACTAACCAAATATTTGCAGAGGGACAAACTGTCACTTGAGAGATTGCATGTCTTGCTTGGAGAGGAATCCTCGTCTCTGCAGCCCAGCGTTCTGCATCCGTGAGTCTGTTTTGTGTTGTGTACTTCCTTTAAAATTCACCACAAAGCCATAAAGGACACAAAAACCAGGACTTTCAGGGTCCGATTGGCTGGTAAACGGCGTGGGGAGATCATGTCCAGGCTCCATCTGCAGCATCCAAATCCTCCCAAACGGCATTTCAGGTTAGAAGGTTTCCACTTTTCATCAGCATAGTTTGTACACCTGTCTCTTATTTGGTGAAACACTGAAGGGTTATGTTTCGAACTTTAAATCTCACAACATCAGAGTCACATCGAGGGCAGTCCAGGAATGTCTGTTCCCCTTTATGACTGAATTTGGCTTTTCAACCCAACGAAAAGCCAAAAAAAGTGTGTATTGAACAGGCTGGGGGAATAGAAACTCCTTTTTATGGGAATTCAGCGCCATTAACTCACACTCACACAAGGCTGCCCACTATTTGCCCCTTTTTATTTCTTTAGATTAGAAAAAAAATTAGAAAGGCCACCATCATTCGAACTAAAACTTGTGATTTCAGACGGACTTTAAAGGAATCTTACACAGTTGTTTATGAGTGTGCATCCTCTAAATTTATAGAGCCCCAAACCCCTCAGAAAGTCCTCTATATCTCAATTTGTCAGGACAAATTATAATTCCAAGTGTGTAATAAAAATGCTGTTAGCTAAGGCTTTGATAGGTAGTTTCTTTTTTTTTTTTTTCTATTAATGTCTTTAACATTTTTCTGTACCTGCTGGTCTCCTCCCTTCTTTTTCATTCAGCACATCTGCTTTGGGTGTTTTTTACACACAACAATCACAGCCAGAGTTTAAAGAAATTCCATTTTTTTAGGAGCAGAGATTTTCTGAGAGCCTCATACAGGAGCAGAAACTCCTGACATATTACCCGATTAGCCATTTTACTGAGGAAAGAAGCAGATGATACATGAAATAAAACATTTAAAACGTAGAAACAGGCTGGACGGGTTCAGAAATCCCAAACTTTATTGTTTGGATGAGCTGAAATGACAGAAAACCACCTTAAGGTTTCCATTACTGTATCTGTGCTCAGCATTTTCTTTTAACTGAGAACAGAATTGCTTTGTTTCCCTTTGAATCAGCGTTTCTTCTGCTCTCATAAAAAAAAAAACCCACAAAAATGATCGAATCTCGATGGAAACCGGAACCCGAGCGCCCGTTTTGGCTCCTCGATTAAAGCAGGAATCGTTTATTCATCCAGCCACCCACATGAAAAGCTTTCAGTAGTATGCAGTAACATGGAGTCTGATTTGTGAGGAGCTGTTCAGGGATTCTTGCTGTCGATGATGATGTCCATGGTAGCATTGAGACTTTATGCAACTTTTTCTTTGCACTAGGGACGCTGGCCTGTGGCCGAGCGGAAGCCCGGCGGGCGGGGGGGGGGGCTTTAGATCCGGCGGAGGGCCAAATCCAAATTAAGCCCCAGTGAACTTTTCTCCTCCTTTCTCTCGGTTTCCTCTGTTTGACTTTAACTGTCGTCCTTATTCCCCCTTAATTGAAAAAAGCCTCCACACTGTTTTAATGTCACCGATCTGCCAACAAGGCTCACACACACACCCCTGTTCAGGATTCAACCCGAAAATGTTTGGACTTTAAGAAAAGGGCTCAGCGGATACTAGAAGTATCACTTTGATTAAACGTCTAATTCAATGTGGAAAGACAATCACTGCTGCTAAAAAGAACGAGCCGTCTCCCTCGTCTCACGCTTATCTATGAGTTAAATACAGTTTAACGGGGAAAGATCAGTTCTGGTTGGATTTATTTCTCCATTAGTTGCCCATGAATGGCTTTTAGTGGGTAATACTGGGAACCAATTGAGTTAGAGGGCTTTAACCGCCTTTCTGTGGGAGAAAAACTCACTTAATTACTGCGTAAAGATGAAGAAAACACGTGAATTAAGCGACTGGAAGCCGCTCAAAGTGTTCGAAATGCAGAGGTGATGTCGGCTTTATTCATCCCACACTGAGCCTGCTCACTGTTCAGGTTTTTTTTTTCACACCAGCCAAAGTTGGAGCAGTAAAAGCTGGAAATAATCTGGTCTTTGAGCCGATCCGCCGCCGCCCGCCGGCCCTCCGCCCGCCTCTCTCCGTACGCCTGCCCACAGCAACCTGATAATGTACTAATATATTTGCTCAGAAATATTTTCTGTAAAGAGCTGAAGAGAGGAAATCGAGGAAAAAAAGAGTTTAGCGGCAGCGACGCTGGAAAAACCGGCCCCTTGTCTTTGCTGTGTCCCACTTCTCCGGGTGTGTCGGAGTGTGACTCCGGACCGGTGGGCCCACACCCCCGCCACACAAACAAAGACAAAGAGGTTGCATGAAAGACATTGTCTCTATTACGGTACTGCTGTGCATGTCTAGAAGTCCCATCTCTCCACTATACAATCACTGTAACATACCGGGGCGACACAAACTACCAACATGGAAAAAGGTGAATGAATGAACCAATAATGTATAAAACGATCAGAACCAACTGCGAATCATTGGATCTGTACAGTTGTTTCTTTGAATTGATAAATACAGATTGTGATAATGAAATTCATGTGTGTTTGTCTTTTTTTAAAAGACTAAAATCCTGTTTGTGGATTCTTGGAGAGGCTCCAAGAGGAGCTAAATGAAACAGACCAGTTTGTTTTTACTAAGAACATCAGCAGCTAAGGCCAGGATGCGTTAGTTCCTTAACGTTTTTAGGATCTCTTTACCCATTTTTTGTTTCTTTATATGGTGCCAGATTAGTAAATCATAGGTACAACTATTTATATGCTTGCAAGAAGCTCTAAATAATATATGATAGTTTATATTGTGTATCGTGTTTCTGGTATACAGTTGAGTCTATCGAAACTAGATAGCAGTAGTATTTAGTTTTTAGTGTTTAGTTAGTTTTAGTATTTAGTTGCTTTATGCAGAAAATCCTTCACCTCCTTCTATGCCAGAACGCTGACATGAACAGAAGTCTATAGCAGCTTTTCATCCAAGAAAACAGGAAAATCTACGTCATCTTCAGCACTTTGAATTGTCCTTCACAGTGTAATTTGTGTTCAGAGATGTTATTTTAAGATGACTGAATACATTGTTGTACATTCAGCCAGTTGAAGAAAATCATAATAGATTAGCTGGAACTCAGAAATAAACATTTAAATAAAGGTTAATACTTCAAACCTGAAAAAGGGGCTGAATGTAAAGACCATTTTGTGTTAATAATAGAACTTGTTAGGCTACAAGTAGATTACAGTTACTGATTTAATTATCTTTATGGGTTTTTACATAGAGCAGTGCTCAGAAAAAAAAAATATTTGCCTTAATCTTTGTCCTTTGTTTGATCGTATTCATATAAAAAATCTTAAGTAAAATTTTTTTTAAAAGACAGTCAATGACTGTTTTAATGTTGTTTTAATGATGATCGTCTTTGTAAAGTAACCTTGAGTGACATGAAAGGCGCTTTCAAAAAACAAAATGTATTATTATTATTAATTCATTATATTTAAAGTAAAGAGAATCGGTATTGGTGCCGATATCGGTTATTCCTTCTCTGTGTCGTGTCGGATAGATACCAAAACCCAAAGTTTACACCTCTTATTTTTTCACCGCGTCATGTCACCGGAAGCGGAAGTGCAACACCGATGGTTCGCGCATGCGCAGAAGCCGTGGAGGAAGGCAACGGACGTCGGAGTCGCAGTTGAACGCGGGTTAGCGGCTGTCGTGTGGCAGCTGTGACCTCTTGAGCTTCGGAGTCGGAGCTTTAATGTTCGCCGCGACGTGTGGGAAACCCCGACGACCTGAGCTCTGAGTTTCGGCTAAAAATGGAGGCGCGCTTCGACGGCGAGGTGGCGTCGGTGGTGGCGGCCGCCTTCCAGGCGACCGTGTCCGTGTTCAGGGACGTGTGGGCGAAAGGGGCTCCGCGCGCGGACTGGGACGAGGCGAGGCTCGGCGAGATCCAGGAGATCGAGAAGTTGCTGGTGGCCCAGATCCACAGGGCCTTCGCGGAGTTCTGCTCGGAGCTGTGCGAGGAGAACGAGGCTCTGCGGGCCCGGGTGGAGCAGCTGGAGGACGTGCTGCAGCGCAAAGCCGGGCAGCTGGAGCAGGAGCTGGAGGCCCGGGTGGGCCGGCTGGGGAAGGACATGGAGCTGCTGGAGAGGGAGATCAAGACCATGAGCGAGGGAGGCAAGACCCAGGAGGGCTCCCCCCCCGACCCCCTGGCAGGTTAGAGCCATAGTCAGGCATATATACCCCCCCCATTATTGATGTTTGCACCACCAGTCTGCATCTCTGATCAAACAACAGCCCTCAAAGCGGTTTTACAATAAGTAATTGTTCTAAATTCCCATTTGCAGGTTTCCAGTAAATGCTGAATCCCTTTTCCTCCCATTTGTGTTCCAGTTCCAGTATGTCGATAATCCACAATAATCCACTCACTTTTGTGTCCAGCTATGATCACGTGACATCTGATTTGAATAAGTGTGTGTGATCTATGAAGCTTGAGCCACGATCCATTTCTTTATAAGGTGCCAGGAAAACAGGAAACGGGTGCAATGACGTGTTAAAATGCACAAATAATCACATTCATCCCTCCCTCAGACCCGTTGCTCAGCCTTTTCTTCGCTTCTCTGTCATGTGTAGACACAATATTGGCTCATCCTTTGAGTTAGGGGCCTTTTTTTCCTGCCTTAATGATTTATAAGTCAGAGTTAATGTCTTAATTAAGCCAAAAGTACAAGAACTGGGCTAAGGTGAGGCTGGAAAAGCAGTTGGTGTTTAAAAAAAGACCAGAGAGCTATTAGTCAGGACCACTTTTAAAGATTGTGACCCTCTGGAAGCAAGATGTGAGGAAAGAGGAGCTGGCCTAAGACTTTTTCCAGATTAATGTAATGACTTAGACATCATCCCTTGAGTTATGGGCCTTTTTTCTGTCTGAATGATTGACAGGTCAGAATTAAGTGGCTTATAAAACACACAAAAAAAAAAGACATTCAAGCCCTGGTTGGTTGAAAACAACATTTTGTAAATCACAAAAAAGCTTAACCGTCATTATGCATCTGTCTAAGATCCAGGAGCGGCCTCAGCCGATGACCCGGTCCGGCCCCCGGAGGAGAGGGCCCCCACCCTCACCCCCCCCGGGCCGCCAGCAGGAAGCTGTGAGGCCGTCCCCTGCTCGCCGCCGCCCTCCGTGTCCGTCTCATTGGCCGCCGGCTCGGAGGCGGCGCCCTCGCCCGGCGTCCCTGAAACGCCGGCGTTCGTCCTCCAACCGGCAGCCTCCCCGGAGTCCTCTCCCCAAGAAGCCCCGCCTCCTGACTCCGCCCCAGTCAGTGGTTTAGACTTTTGTTTATAAACATGTTCCGCGTGCATGCGATTGTCTGAAATAAAATGGACATTTTTGGCTTTGCAGACCGCGTCGGAGGAGGAGGAGGGGGGGCCGTCGGGGAGGACGAGGCAGACCAGGCGGGCGGCAGGAAAACCCGAACGAGGTGCGACTCCCCCCCGCAAAACGCCGGCTCACAAAGAGCCTAGGGTTGCCACGATACTAACATTTTCAACTCGATACCAATACTCAGGACAATACTCGATACCATTTTAGATACCACAAGGATAGAAAACAAAGACCCCAAAATGTAACTGAATTTTGACAGGTTAGTGTCTTTAATTTCAAACTGACCTGTAACTGATGTTATGGTGGCCGGTGGCCCACATTAATGACCCTAACCCTAACCCTAACCCTCCAGCCTTCATAATTGTGAAAAAAAAAAAAAAATTTGGTTAAACTTGTTTGGACTTATTGTACAAACCTATTTAACATCCACTATTTTTAACATAATATTATGGATAGAGTTTAATTCAGTGTTTGCAAGATGGTGGTATCGATACTTTTGAAAATGAGTATCGTATGCGGATACAACATTTTAGTATCAATACTAATACAATACGAGTATCGATACTTTTGACACTTTTGACAACCCTAAAAGAGGCCCCGAGTCCTGATCTGTGCCCTTTTTCCCTCCCCCTCCAGCCTCTGCTGGCGGCAGCCCGGAGCAGAAGCCGGACGGGGGGCCGGGGGGCAGAACCCTGCGCAACCGGGAGTCCCAGACGGGGAAGAGGTTCTTCTGCGAGCACTGCGACTCGGGCTTCCACTGGAAAGGCGAGCTGAAGAAGCACGTGAAGACCCACAAGAAGGCCTTCCCCTGCGAGCGCTGCGGCCGCAGCTTCCTGGACCGGGCGTCCCTGGACGGCCACCTGCTGCGGCACGAGTCCGGCAAGGCGCCGCTGCCCTTCCCCTGCCCGCGCTGCAAGAGGTCCTTCCGGAGGGAGCAGTCGCTCCAGAACCACCTCAAGCGCCACCAGAAGGCCAAGCCGCCCAAGCCCTTCGCCTGCGACCAGTGCGGGAAGACCTTCCGGGTGCAGCGGTCCCTGGAGAACCACCTGCTGCGCCACGAGAAGTGGAAGCAGATGCTCAAGTGCCAGCTCTGCGACAAGACCTGCAAGACCTCGGTGCAGCTGCGCTGCCACATGGCCGTGCACTCCGAGGAGAGGCCCTTCAGCTGCGCCACCTGCGGGAAGGAGTTCAAGAGCAAGGACACGCTGCGCTTCCACCAGATGGTGCACACCAGCGCCAAGAAGTACAAGTGCGGCATGTGCGAGGAGTCCTTCAAGTACGCGCACTCGCTCACCGTGCACAAGCGCAAGCACACGGGCGACAGCCCCTTCGTGTGCGACGTGTGCAGCCGCTCCTACCGCACCGGCACGGCCCTGAAGCGGCACAAGGTGGTGCACACGGGCGAGAAGCCCTTCACCTGCCACGTCTGCGGCGCCCGCTTCAACCTCAACAACAACCTGAAGCGCCACCTGCGCATCCACACCGGCGAGAAGCCCTTCGCCTGCCAGGAGTGCGGCAAGAGCTTCTCCGACAACAACAAGCTCAAGTCCCACATGCTCATCCACGGCGCCCGGAAGCCCTTCATGTGCGACCTGTGCGGGAAGACCTTCCTGTTCAACTGCCGGCTGCAGATCCACCAGCGGTACGTGCACGCCGACCGCGGCGCGGAGGCGGAGGGCGCGGCGCAGAGCCCGCCGCCGGGCCGGCGGCAGAACAAGGCGCTGGTGAAGCCCTTCAGCTGCAAGATCTGCCTGAAGGGCTTCAGCGCCGCCTGCTCGCTGAAGCTGCACGAGCGCGGCCACAGCGAGCACAAGGAGTTCAACTGCGGCGTCTGCGGCAAGGCCTTCCACAACAAGTACTCCTTCAGCTACCACCAGCGCAGCCACTCGGGCGAGAAGCCCTTCGTCTGCGACGTGTGCGGGAAGAGGTTCTTCCACGCCGCCAGCCTGAAGCAGCACGAGCGCATCCACACCGGGGAGAAGCCCTACAAGTGCGACCAGTGCGGGAAGGCCTTCCGGACCGACGGGAACTTCTACAGACACATGCGCATCCACACCGGGGAGAAGCCCTTCGAGTGCATGTACTGTCACAAGAAGTTCCACCAGTCCAACCAGCTCAAGTCCCACCTGCAGATCCACACGGGGCAGAAGCTCTACTCCTGCCAGCAGTGCGGCCGCGGCTTCTCTGACTCCAGGCAGCTGAAGAAGCACAGCTGCGACGCCTCATAGGCAACAGGACTCAAACCAGCACATCCACAGACTGGTTACCGGGAGGCTGTAGTGAACATCTAATTTATGCTTTTCCACTCACAATGTCGCTATAGTGAACTACTTCCAACACAAAAATAACTTTACATCATAATCAGGCGTCAGTGGTTGGTACACTTGGTTAATTCACAAGAGTATCGACACGAAAGCTAAAGTTTTTGCAGCCAGAAAGGGCAAACTTGAATCTTTTGTTTGTTATAGTTTGATAGTAGGAAAAGCATTTGTTTGTTTGACCTCATGCAATGCAAGTTTCGTGACTTTTTGATATGGAAGGAGTTATTCCATAGCTATGAATAATGTAGTCACAGAAACTTAGCACCACGCACAGGCTAGCATGAGCATTGCTGTTCTTGTGGCTGTTTGAAACACCAACATAGCTCATGTGAAACCAGAATAAAATGATTACATCATTTTGAAAGTAACTTTGAAAATTCTCAAACTATATTTTCCCAAATAATGTGTTAAAATACAATGACAATAGTGTGTTTGGTCCTTTTTTTTCTTCACAAAATCATAATACACCCAGATTGCTAGTAAGATGTAGTTATTTTTCAAAACGCTGTATAGTTACTTTCTATTGTACAGTTTTCTTTAATAAGGCAGCCTATATATTTCATGTCTTTTTTTTCATTAAACACTATCAAATTTATTTTAAAAAAGGGCTTGGAAACTTTATTTTGAAACGTTTGAACCGGTCCGCTTCTATTTCCGGGAAAATGTCTGCTTTTCACTAAACGTCGGCTGTGAGCGTCAAAGTAGAAATGTCACAAAACGGAGTGTTTTGCTCCGAAGTGAAATCCATCATAGAGATGCTTTTGAAAAGTTCAATGAGTATGCTCGGAGGAACCGGAGAAGAATCCGCCTCAAACGAGCCAGAGAGGAAATGTACGGTAAGTTAACGGCCGCTGATCCCACTCGGAGTCGGTGGAGGATCTTTGTTTTGATGGCTAGCGGCGGCTAATGCTAACAACTCTCTTCCGGCGGCGAGATCTGACCGGACAGAAAACATGGCGGACTCACGTTAGTTTACGTCAGGGTTTGTACCATAAACGTATAAATATGTCTATGGTTTGTACAGCCATGCTAACGCTTAGCATAGATGGGGTTAATGGGTTGTTGGTTTTAAATTTGCTTCCCAATTTGAAATAAAAAAAATAGAACAAGATTTGAATCTATAAATGTCTAAACGATTGCATTTGTGTTACGATAAATTATGGAATCATTTGTGCAACAATAAATGCACAACATGTAAAATAATTGGACACTTAAAGTAAATGCATTTTTAAATAAAATTATTGACAAAAAGCAGATTTTAAAGATTTAAAATGGGAATAAAATTGAAGATAAAACAGGAATAATGAAAAAACATTCAAACTTTATATACTAAAATGTTATTAAAAGCAATACAATATAAAATATATGATGCTAAAAATCATATTAGTAATTGTGGATAACTTTTCTGTAAATAAACCAAATAAGTTGCACTATAATGTAAATATATGACAATAAAAATATATAATAAAGTTGATCTAAATAATGGTTTTCCTGCATCTGAATGCAGACGCTCATCTGATCTGTTTTTCTGCTTTATTTGACCCTCGCAGACAGATTTCGAGAGCATCGTAGAAATGTTGGTGCGGGAGGCGACCAGGAAGATCGGCTGCGTTTTCTCCCAGCTGTCCACTCTGCTGCTGGCTGAAAACGGCAGTCTGAAGGCCCGCGTGGACCAGCTGGAGGCCCGGCTGGAGAGCACGGCTGAAAGCTACGAAAATGCCAGACTGTGGAGAGAAAACGTCCTGAACGGCTGCCCCGTGCTGTTCCAGCAGAGCGGGCTGGTTTTAACTCTGAAGCCGTGCGGGACGCTGAGAATAAAGACACATGTTTCATCAGAACCAGCACCTGCTGATGCTCAGGTGGAGGCCAGACACCAGACAAGTAAGAAGGAAAACACTGAGGAGCCTCATAAGTAATGGTTTCACATTCAAATTCACTAAGTCATTGTGTAAATATGTTAATTCCATCCAGTTTTTGGCAATTTTTGGTCAGACACACAGTGAAACACCGTTTATTCTGTAAATTTCTACCTTCTCAGCTTCTTTCCAGCTCCTGACCATCAGGACTGAGATCAGAACTGATTGGTAAGAGGCTGGAAAAGCTGAAATATCGTCAGTGTTCCACACAAAGCAGAACCAAAAGGACACTGGGTTTTTCAAGAGGACTCAATTAGTTACAAAGCAGGAGTCATTTGAAGTCAGGAGTTTGAATTACAGTGCTTTCAGTTGCAAAAACAAAGCAGAACAACCCCCAGAAATTATTGGATTTGGGGCTCTGAGCATCAGCGGAGCCTCGGCTGTCCTCAGAATCCAACATGGCCGCCGCACAGCTACAGAAAACAGCTGCAGAAAACAGCTGTTTATCAGCACGTCTGTCGGTTTGAGACCAAAGCGAAGATGTTTGCCCAAACGCCTCGTGGCAGCTGCCAGCACGGCGGGGGAGGGATGGTGATCTGGGCCCCCGACTCCAGCGGTTCCTCTTAGAGTTTTTATGACCTGCGTCAGCTTCTATCTTCTGCTGGTTTCTTTCAGACGGCGAAGAGACGGTGGCAGAGCTCCCGTCGCCCCTGGCAACTGGACAGGTTACGGCCGAGCCCCCGGCGGCGAGCGCCCCGCCAGCAGAGGTCGGCGTTGGAGGGAGGGGCTTCGAGTGCCCGGTCTGCGGGAAGACCTTCAGCCGGCGGTTTCACCTGACCAAGCACGCCGACTCCCACCGGGAGCAGCAGAACCCCAGGAGGTTCGGGGCCGCCGCCGGCCTGGAGTCGCACCTGCGGCGCCACGAGGAGGCTCCGCCCCACGGCGGCGAGCGGCCGCACCGCTGCGCGCTGTGCGGGAAAACGTTCGCCGGGCGGCGCTCGCTCCGGACGCACGCGGCCGTCCACCGGGGGAAGGCCTTCCGCTGCGAGACCTGCGGCGCCGGCTTCACGCTGCGGCAGAACCTGAAGCGGCACGCCCGCCTCCACACGGGGGAGAAACCCTACGGCTGCCAGGTGTGCGGGAAGAGGTTCCCGCAGGCCGGCAGGCTGAAGGCGCACATGCTGCTCCACGGCGCCGCCAAGGCCTTCATGTGCGACCTGTGCGGGAAGACCTTCCTGTACAACTGCCAGCTGAAGAAGCACCAGCAGGGAGTCCACGCCGACGCCGAGCCGCTCGCCAATCGGCGGCGGCGGCGGCGGGAGCCGGGCAGCCGCCGGGTGGTCTACCGGCGCGACAAGACGCTGGTCAACATGACGCCGTTCAGCTGCCCGACCTGCCAGCGGGGCTTCGACTCGGGCCGCGCCCTGCGGAGGCACGAGCTCGTGCACGCCGGGAACCCGCAGTACAGCTGCCCCCAGTGCGGGAAGTCCTTCTTCTACAAAGCCACCTACGAGTACCACCGGCGGCTCCACTCGGGGGAGCGGCCCTTCGGCTGCGACGTCTGCGGGAAGACCTTCATCGTCCGCCAGGCCCTGAAGTCCCACCGGCTGCAGCACTCCGGGGAGAAACCGCACGGGTGCGAGCAGTGCGGGAAAGCCTTCCGGATCTACACCAACTACCTGCGGCACCTGCGGGTCCACACGGGCGAGAAGCCCTACGAGTGCGAGGTGTGCGGCGCCCGCTTCCGGCAGCTGGGACACGTCAAGTTTCACATGCAGGTCCACACCAAGGAGAGACCCTACCCCTGCAGCGGCTGCGGCCGCCGCTTCTCCGACTCTAGGCTGCTCAAGAGACACAGCTGCGGTTAAAACGGGAAAAAGTGTAAAATAAAATATTTTAACATCTGGAATTTTCTCACCTTCCCTCATTGAGCTGCCTCAGAATAGGTAAAACTAATTTAAATCCTAAAAAATCCTCCTTCAACATTTTGTGTTATTTCATATGGTCACTGCGACTCATCGTCAGTTTGAAGAATGTATCGGGCTCTTTCCTTTTTTAGCTTTCAGCACTAAATATTTGCCAATTGACATTTTAAGGCTTAAATAGATAGAATAATCATTCCTATTTAAACGTGAAATGTACTGTTATTTTGTTTTGTTTTAACTCTTTTCCACCAGTGTTTTGCACTTCAACACAGAGCACCCATGGTTGCATCATTTAAAAACAAGCAAACGTGACCTTTAGCTACCAATAAAAAGGAAAAAACAGACCTATGAAGGCAGCAGTTCCAGTTCAGAAAGGGTTGGAATTTCTACATGGTGAAAATTAAATGTACGGAAAAGTCCCTAAAGTTTGTAACTAAAAATGGAAGAAGCCGTAAGAGTCAAACTCATTCAAACTCTTTATTCAAACATTTAAACTTTCCAGTTTGATCCATTTTTAAACTGTCGGACATGTTTTACAGTGCTGCTCATCCTTTCTTTTTAAATGTGTTCAACTCTGAGCACTTCCTGCCAGCTGCAGGAAGCTCAGTGAAAAGACTAAACATTGCTTGTTTTGCTGCCTCTGCCGGGAAAATCACTTCCGGGAAAACAACTTCCGGGGAAACCACTTCCGGTTACCGTCTGTGATTCGCCTTTACAATAAAATCTCAACCTTCAGTTTTACTGAACAAATATTTTTTTTGGGTATTATGGAGACCTTTTTTGTTTAGGAATGACAGGAAATTAATATAACTCGAACCCCTGATTCGAAATATTTATGTTCTTTACCATTTCTATGTATTTATCTGCAGATCTGTATATTTAAAAATGCATTGATAACAATAACAATTCTGTTTTAGTGTTTTAGAAGTCAATTGGGCTAAAGGGCCTCCACATACTGGTGCATCAGCCATTACAGACACATACAGAGTTATTCTGGGAACCACAAAGGCTCAAACCTCACACAGGGAGAGGAATAATACATTAGTTTTGACACTGGCAGAACAAGCACATTTTCATTATTCAACACTTCTTTTAATTCTATCACAAAAGAGGTCAGAGTCCAGACAGATAGCCAAAGAACCAACGAACCACTACTGGAAAACATAGACTCAGAAAGAGGATGAAGAGTCCGGTTCTGTGTTGGAGTTTGACCCATTTCCACGCCAAATCGTCGTGCTTTTCTTTTGAAAAGTTCGACCCCGGAAGTAGATTCTTGTTGCTTTTTTTACACGAGTGTTTCCATCACAGCAACAGCCAAAGCTGCCGAACCGCGTTAAAAAACCAGAGTCCGGTGTGCGCGCGTGTGCCGTCATGTCGCGCGCGGATGCGCGTGCGGAGGCGCAGGTCTGCGCCATCCTGGACGCGCTGGTCAGCGCCACCGTGTCAGAAATGACCAAAGTCATCTGCGGGTCGGACCCAACTCCTCCAGAGGCGACTCCACAAAGGCCGGAAGACCCGGAGGGCTCCCCGGACCAGAGGGTAGGTCCGGATAGGGCTCCGGCTCGGTTCCGGTTCGGTTCTGGCTCCTGTCCCCGGTGAGTCCGCAGAACCAGCTGACCCCTGATAAAAACCCGCTGGGGGGCTCCTCTGGTCCCCTTTGACCGTGGAAGTGGGTGTGATCAACAAAAATGGAAGAATGAGGCAGAGAGGTCCACATCCGGGTCCAGATCCGGGTCCCGTTTGGGTCTGGATCAGTTCAGAGTCCTCAGGAGGGTTTGATTCAGGTCAAACCCAAACTTTGAGTAGTTTACCTCAACTTACCTGCAACTTTAAAGTCAATATAAACAAAACAACCCCCCCTCCCTACCAGATGTTACCCCTAT